GGGTGAGTGAGTGAGTGGGTGAGTGAGTGAGTGAGTGGTGAGTGGGTGAGTGAGTGAGTGAGTGGTGAGTGAGTGAGTGGGTGAGTGAGTGAGTGAGTGGGTGAGTGAGTGAGTGGGTGAGTGAGTGAGTGGGTGAGTGAGTGAGTGGGTGAGTGGGTGAGTGAGTGAGTGGGTGAGTGAGTGAGTGAGTGGGTGAGTGAATGAGTGGGTGAGTGAGTGGGTGAGTGAGTGGTGAGTGAGTGAGTGGGTGAGTGAGTGGGTGAGTGAGTGGGTGAGTGGGTGAGTGAGTGAGTGAGTGGTGAGTGATGAGTGGTGAGTGGTGGTGAGTGGTGGTGAGTGGTGGTGGTGGTGGTGAGTGGTGGTGGTGGTGGTGAGTGGTGGTGAGTGGTGGTGGTGGTGAGTGGTGGTGAGTGGGTGAGTGGTGGTGAGTGGTGTTGGTGAGTGGTGAGTGAGTGAGTGGTGAGTGAGTGGGTGAGTGGGTGAGTGAGTGAGTGGGTGAGTGAGTGGGTGAGTGAGTGAGTGGTGAGTGAGTGAGTGGGTGAGTGGGTGAGTGAGTGAGTGAGTGGTGAGTGAGTGGGTGAGTGAGTGAGTGAGTGGGTGAGTGAGTGGGTGAGTGAGTGAGTGGGTGGTGAGTGAATGAGTGAGTGGGTGAGTGAGTGGGTGAGTGAGTGGGTGGGTGAGTGAGTGAGTGGGTGAGTGGGTGAGTGAGTGGGTGAGTGGGTGAGTGAGTGGTGAGTGAGTGGGTGAGTGGGTGAGTGAGTGAGTGAGTGGGTGAGTGAGTGAGTGAGTGGTGAGTGAGTGGGTGAGTGGGTGAGTGAGTGGTGAGTGAGTGGGTGAGTGAGTGAGTGGTGAGTGAGTGAGTGGTGAGTGAGTGGGTGAGTGGGTGAGTGAGTGGGTGAGTGGGTGAGTGAGTGAGTGAGTGGTGAGTGAGTGAGTGGTGAGTGAGTGAGTGAGTGGTGAGTGAGTGGTGAGTGAGTGAGTGGTGAGTGAGTGGTGAGTGAGTGAGTGAGTGGTGAGTGGTGAGTGAGTGGTGAGTGAGTGAGTGGTGAGTGAGAGAGTGGTGAGTGAGTGAGTGGTGAGTGAGTGAGTGGTGGTGGTGAGTGGTGGTGAGTGGTGGTGGTGAGTGGCGGTGGTGAGTGGTGGTGAGTGAGTGAGTGGTGAGTGAGTGGGTGAGTGGGTGAGTGGGTGAGTGAGTGAGTGAGTGGGTGAGTGAGTGGGTGAGTGAGTGAGTGGTGAGTGAGTGGTGAGTGAGTGGGTGAGTGGGTGAGTGAGTGAGTGAGTGGTGAGTGAGTGGGTGAGTGGGTGAGTGAGTGGTGAGTGAGTGGGTGAGTGAGTGAGTGAGTGGTGAGTGAGTGAGTGGTGAGTGAGTGGGTGAGTGGGTGAGTGAGTGAGTGAGTGGTGAGTGGGTGAGTGAGTGAGTGAGTGGTGAGTGAGTGGGTGGGTGGGTGAGTGAGTGAGTTAGTGGGTGGGTGAGTGAGTGAGTGGGTGAGTGAGTGGGTGAGTGAGTGGGTGAGTGAGTGGGTGAGTAGGTGAGTGAGTGGGTGAGTGGGTGAGTGGGTGAGTGAGTGGGTGAGTGGGTGAGTGAGTGGGTGAGTGAGTGAGTGGTGAGTGAGTGAGTGAGTGGTGAGTGAGTGAGTGAGTGGGTGAGTGAGTGAGTGAGTGGGTGAGTGAGTGAGTGGGTGAGTGAGTGAGTGGGTGAGTGAGTGAGTGAGTGGTGAGTGGGTGAGTGAGTGAGTGAGTGGTGAGTGAGTGAGTGGGTGAGTGAGTGAGTGAGTGGGTGAGTGAGTGAGTGGGTGAGTGAGTGAGTGGGTGAGTGAGTGAGTGGGTGAGTGGGTGAGTGAGTGAGTGGGTGAGTGAGTGAGTGAGTGGGTGAGTGAATGAGTGGGTGAGTGAGTGGGTGAGTGAGTGGTGAGTGAGTGAGTGGGTGAGTGAGTGGGTGAGTGAGTGGGTGAGTGGGTGAGTGAGTGAGTGAGTGGTGAGTGATGAGTGGTGAGTGGTGGTGAGTGGTGGTGAGTGGTGGTGGTGGTGGTGAGTGGTGGTGGTGGTGGTGAGTGGTGGTGAGTGGTGGTGGTGGTGAGTGGTGGTGAGTGGGTGAGTGGTGGTGAGTGGTGTTGGTGAGTGGTGAGTGAGTGAGTGGTGAGTGAGTGGGTGAGTGGGTGAGTGAGTGAGTGGGTGAGTGAGTGGGTGAGTGAGTGAGTGGTGAGTGAGTGAGTGGGTGAGTGGGTGAGTGAGTGAGTGAGTGGTGAGTGAGTGGGTGAGTGAGTGAGTGAGTGGGTGAGTGAGTGGGTGAGTGAGTGAGTGGGTGGTGAGTGAATGAGTGAGTGGGTGAGTGAGTGGGTGAGTGAGTGGGTGGGTGAGTGAGTGAGTGGGTGAGTGGGTGAGTGAGTGGGTGAGTGGGTGAGTGAGTGGTGAGTGAGTGGGTGAGTGGGTGAGTGAGTGAGTGAGTGGGTGAGTGAGTGAGTGAGTGGTGAGTGAGTGGGTGAGTGGGTGAGTGAGTGGTGAGTGAGTGGGTGAGTGAGTGAGTGGTGAGTGAGTGAGTGGTGAGTGAGTGGGTGAGTGGGTGAGTGAGTGGGTGAGTGGGTGAGTGAGTGAGTGAGTGGTGAGTGAGTGAGTGGTGAGTGAGTGAGTGAGTGGTGAGTGAGTGGTGAGTGAGTGAGTGGTGAGTGAGTGGTGAGTGAGTGAGTGAGTGGTGAGTGAGTGAGTGGTGAGTGAGTGAGTGGTGAGTGAGAGAGTGGTGAGTGAGTGAGTGGTGAGTGAGTGAGTGGTGGTGGTGAGTGGTGGTGAGTGGTGGTGGTGAGTGGCGGTGGTGAGTGGTGGTGAGTGAGTGAGTGGTGAGTGAGTGGGTGAGTGGGTGAGTGGGTGAGTGAGTGAGTGAGTGGGTGAGTGAGTGGGTGAGTGAGTGAGTGGTGAGTGAGTGGTGAGTGAGTGGGTGAGTGGGTGAGTGAGTGAGTGAGTGGTGAGTGAGTGGGTGAGTGGGTGAGTGGATGAGTGAGTGAGTGGGTGAGTGAGTGGGTGAGTGAGTGAGTGGGTGGTGAGTGAATGAGTGAGTGGGTGAGTGAGTGGGTGAGTGAGTGGGTGGGTGAGTGAGTGAGTGGGTGAGTGGGTGAGTGAGTGGGTGAGTGGGTGAGTGAGTGAGTGGTGAGTGAGTGGGTGAGTGGGTGAGTGAGTGAGTGAGTGGTGAGTGAGTGGGTGAGTGGGTGAGTGAGTGGTGAGTGAGTGGGTGAGTGAGTGAGTGAGTGGTGAGTGAGTGAGTGGGTGAGTGAGTGGTGGTGAGTGGTGGTGGTGAGTGGTGGTGAGTGAGTGAGTGGTGGTGGTGAGTGGTGGTGGTGGTGGTGGTGAGTGGTGGTGAGTGGTGGTGGTGGTGAGTGGTGGTGAGTGGTGGTGGTGGTGAGTGGTGGTGAGTGGTGGTGAGTGGTGGGTGGTGGTGAGTGGTGGTGGTGAGTGGTGGTGAGTGAGTGAGTGGTGGTGGTGAGTGGTGGTGAGTGAGTGGTGAGTGTTGGTGAGTGGTGGTGGTTAGTGGTGAGTGGTGAGTGGTGTTGGTGAGTGGTGGTGATGGTGATGATGGTGACTGAGTGACTGACTGAGTGACTGACTGACTGAGTGACTGACTGACTGAGTGACTGACTGACTGAGTGACTAAGTGACTGACTGAGTGAGTGACTGACTGACTGAGTGGCTGACTAAGTGACTGACTAAGTGACTGACTGACTAAGTTACTGACTGAGTGACTGACTGAGTGACTGACTGACTGAGTGAGTGACTGACTAAGTGACTGACTGACTGAGTGACTGACTGACTAAGTGACTGACTGACTAGGTGACTGAGTGACTGACTGAGTGACTGACTGACTGACTGACTAAGTGACTGACTGACTGAGTGACTGACTGAGTGACTGACTAAGTGACTGACTAAGTGACTGACTGAATGACTGACTGAATGACTGAGTGAGTGACTGACTAAGTGACTGACTGACTAGGTGACTGAGTGACTCACTGACTGAGTGACTGAGTGACTGACTGAGTGACTGACTGACTAGGTGACTGAGTGACTGACTGACTGACTAAGTGACTGACTGACTAAGTGACTGAGTGACTGACTGACTGAGTGACTGAATGAGTGACTGACTGACTGAGCGACTGACTGACTAAGTGACTGACTAAGTGACTGACTGACTGAGTGACTGACTGAGTGACTGGGTGACTGACTGAGTGACTGACTGACTATGTGACTGACTAAGTGACTGACTAAGTGACTGACTAAGTGACTGACTGACTGAGTGACTGACTGACTATGTGACTGACTAAGTGACTAAGTGAGTGACTGAGTGACTGACTGAGTGACTGACTGAGTGACTGACTGAGTGAGTGACTGACTGACTGACTAAGTGACTGACTAAGTGACTGACTAAGTGAGTGACTGACTATGTGACTGACTAAGTGACTGACTGAGTGACTGACTGAGTGTTGCTTGTCCCTGCAGTTCACAGCGAGGCTACCTGGGTCCTCTCTACCTGATGGAGGTTGATTTTGTGGGCGTGGCCACGGCGTTGGTTGCCGTGGCAACGGCGGCTGCCTTTCTCATCTGGTACCAGCGTCGCCATGGCAACCGCTCTGGTGAGTCACTCACTCAGTCACTCAGTCACTCACTCAGTCACTCAGTCACTCACTCACTCACTCAGTCAGTCACTCAGTCACTCACTCAGTCAGTCACTCACTCAGTCAGTCACTCAGTCACTCAGTCACTCACTCAGTCAGTCACTCACTCAGTCACTCACTCAGTCAGTCACTCAGTCACTCAGTCAGTCAGTCAGTCAGTCACTCAGTCAGTCACTCACTCAGTCAGTCACTCAGTCAGTCACTTAGTCACTCACTCAGTCACTCAGTCAGTCACTCAGTCAGTCACTCAGTCAGTCAGTCACTCAGTCAGTCACTCAGTCAGTCACTCAGTCAGTCAGTCACTCAGTCAGTCACTCAGTCAGTCACTCACTCAGTCAGTCACTCAGTCAGTCACTCAGTCACTCAGTCAGTCACTCACTCAGTCAGTCAGTCACTCACTCAGTCACTCAGTCACTCACTCAGTCAGTCACTCACTCAGTCAGTCAGTCACTCACTCAGTCACTCAGTCACTCACTCAGTCAGTCACTCAGTCACTCACTCAGTCACTCAGTCAGTCACTCAGTCAGTCACTCAGTCAGTCACTCAGTCAGTCAGTCACTCAGTCAGTCACTCAGTCAGTCACTCAGTCAGTCAGTCAGTCACTCAGTCAGTCACTCAGTCACTCACTCAGTCAGTCACTCAGTCACTCACTCAGTCACTCAGTCAGTCACTCACTCAGTCAGTCAGTCACTCACTCAGTCACTCAGTCACTCACTCAGTCAGTCACTCAGTCACTCACTCAGTCAGTCATTCAGTCACTCAGTCACTCACTCAGTCAGTCACTCAGTCAGTCAGTCACTCAGTTAGTCACTCGGTCACTCACTCAGTCAGTCACTCACTCAGTCACTCGGTCACTCACTCAGTCAGTCACTCAGTCAGTCACTCACTCAGTCACTCAGTCACTCACTCAGTCAGTCACTCAGTCAGTCACTCAACAACTCAGTCACTCACTCAGTCACTCAGTCACTCACTCATTCTGTCTCTCTGTCTCTCTGTCTCTCTCTCACTGTCTCTCTGTGTCTCTGTGTGTCTCTCACTCTCTCTCTGTCTCTCTGTCACTGTCTCTGTCTCTCTGTCTCTGTGTCTCTGTCTCTCTCTGTGTGCCTCTCACTCTCTCTCTGCCTCTCTCTCTGTCTGTCTCACTGTCTCACTGTCTCTGTCTCCCCCAGGCCTGTCCCACCGTGCCCACCGTGAGCCCACCACGGCCTTCCTGGACCTCTGGGAATCTCTCTCTGTCTGTGTGTCTCTGTCTCTCTCACTGTGTGTCTGTGTCTCTCTGTGTCTCTCACTGTGTGTCTCTCTGTCTCTCTGTCTCTGTGTCTGTCTGTGTCTCTCTCTGTCTCTGTGTCTCTCTGTGTCTCTCACTGTGTGTCTCTCTGTCTCTCTGTCTCTCTGCCTGTGTCTCTGTCTCTGTGTCTCTGTGTCTCTCTGTCTCTCTGTCTCTGTGTCTCTCTGTCTCTCTGTGTCTCTGTGTGTCTCTGTGTCTCTGTGTGTGTCTCTGTCTCTGTCTGTCTGTCTCTCTCTCTGTCTCTGTGTCTCTCTGTGTCTCTCACTGTGTGTCTCTGTCTGTGTCTCTCTCACTGTGTCTGTCTCCCCCAGGCCTGTCCCACCGTGCCCACCGTGAGCCCACCACGGCCTTCCTCGACCTCTGGGAATCTCTCTCTGTCTCTGTCTGTCTCTCTCTGTGTCTCTGTGTCTCTGTGTCTCTCACTGTGTGTCTCTGTCTGTGTCTCTGTCTCACTGTGTCTGTCTCCCCCAGGCCTGTCCCACCGTGCCCACCGTGAGCCCACCACGGCCTTCCTGGACCTCTGGGAATCTCTCTCTGTCTCTGTCTGTCTCTCTCTGTCTCTGTGTCTCTCTGTCTCTCTGTCTCTCTGTCTCACTGTCTCTCTGTCTCTGTGTCTCTCTCACTGTCTCTCTGTGTCTCACTGTCTCTCTGTCTCTGTGTCTCTCTGTGTCTCTGTGTCTGTCTCTCTCTGTGTGTCTGTGTCTCTCTGTGTCTCTCACTGTGTGTCTCTGTCTCTGTCTCTGTGTCTCTCTCTCACTGTGTCTGTCTCCCCCAGGCCTGTCCCACCGTGCCCACCGTGAGCCCACCACGGCCTTCCTGGACCTCTGGGAATCTCTCTCTGTCTCTCTGTCTCACTGTCTCTCTGTCTGTCTCTCTGTGTGTCTCTCTGTGTCTCTGTGTTTGTCTGTCTCTGTCTGTGTGTCTCTGTGTCTCTCACTGTGTGTCTGTGTCTCTGTGTCTCTCACTGTCTCTCTCTCACTGTGTGTCTCTGTCTCTCTGTCTCTCTCTGTCTCTGTGTCTCTCACTGTTTGTGTCTCTCTCTGTGTCTCTCTGTGTGTCTCTGTGTCTCTGTCTCTCTGTGTCTCTCTGTCTCTGTGTCTCTCTCTGTCTCTCACTGTGTGTCTCTCTCTGTGTCTCTCTGTCTCTCTCTCTCACTGTGTGTCTCTCTCTCTGTCTCTCTGTGTCTCACTGTCTCTCTCTGTGTCTCTGTGTCTCTGTGTCTCTCTCACTGTCTCTCTGTGTGTCTCACTGTCTGTCTGTCTCTGTCTCTCTGTCTCTCTCTCTGTCTGTGTCTGTCTCTCTGTCTCTCTGTCTCTCTGTGTCTCTCTGTATCTGTGTGTCTCTGTCTCTCTGTGTCTCACTGTCTCTCTCTGTGTCTCTGTGTCTCTGTGTCTCTCTCTGTGTCTCTGTGTCTCTCTGTCTCTCTCTCTGTCTGTCTCACTGTCTCTCTGTCTCTCTCTGTCTCTGTGTCTCTCTGTCTCTCTGTCTCTCTCTCTGTCTGTCTCACTGTCTCTCTGTCTCTCTCTGTCTCTGTGTCTCTCTGTCTCTCTGTGTGTCTCTCTGTCTCTCTCTCTGTCTGTCTCACTGTCTCTCTGTCTCTCTCTCTCTCACTGTGTGTCTCTGTCTCTCTGTCTCTGTGTGTCTCTGTCTCTCTCTCTCTGTCTCTGTGTCTCTCACTGTGTGTCTCTGTCTCTCTCTCTCTGTCTCTCTCACTGTGTGTCTCTCTCTCTCTGTGTCTCTCTCTGTGTGTCTCTCTCTCTCACTGTCTCTGTGTCTCTGTCTCTCTCTCTCTCTCTGTCTCTCTCACTGTGTGTCTCTCTCTCTCTGTGTCTCTCTCTGTGTGTCTCTCTCTCTCACTGTCTCTGTGTCTCTGTCTCTCTCTCTCTCTCTGTCTCTCACTGTGTGTCTCTGTCTCACTGTCTCTCTGTGTCTCTCTCTCTCTGTGTGTCTCTCACTGTCTCTCTCTCACTGTCTCTCTCACTGTGTGTCTCTCTCTCACTGTCTCTCTCTGTCTCTCTCTCTGTCTCTCTCTCTGTCTCTCTGTCTCTCTCTCTGTCTCTCTCACTGTCTCTCTGTGTCTCTGTGTCTCTCACTGTCTCTCTCTCTCTGTGTCTCTCACTGTCTCTCTGTGTCTCTGTGTCTCTGTGTCTCTCTCTCTGTGTCTCTCTCTGTCTCTCTGTCTCTGTGTCTCTCTCTCTGTGTCTCTCTCTGTCTCTCTGTGTCTCTGTGTCTCTCTGTCTGTGTGTCTCTGTCTCTCTGTGTCTCTCTGTGTCTCTCACTGTGTCTCTCTGTCTCACTGTCTCTCTCTCTCTCACTGTCTCTCTGTCTCTCTGTCTCTGTGTCTCTGTGTCTCTCTCTTTCT